ACGAAATGATCACCATCGACGCTCTGGGCCTGTCGGAGCATGGAAAAGCCCACCTCATGGTCCGAAACGGAGATATCACCTACGGAGGCAAAATGGTCATAAACCCTTCCGGAGGTCTCATCTCAAAAGGCCATCCGCTCGGCGCCACGGGCATTGCGCAATGTGCGGAACTCGTGTGGCATTTGAGGGGTTGGGCGAATAATCGTCTTGTTCCGGATACGACGGTGGCGCTGCAGCATAATTTGGGGTTGGGGGGTGCGGTGGTTTGTACTGTGTATAAGAGGGCGGATGGTCAGGCCCCGAAGAAGGTTGGGGATGAGGAGGTTGCGAGGAAGACGAGGTTTGGATATAATCCTGCGACTCAGGCGAAGGGGTTTACGAAGAAGCAGGCGGATGAGGTTAGGTCGAAGAAGGCGAGGAGTGAGTGGGCTTTGCAGGATGTTGAGAAGAAGGTTGAGAGTAGGTTTTAGGGAAAGGGTATGAGGAAGATGGTGATGATGACCACAGGATCAGAAGTTTTGTGAGTTATAGCATTGTAAGGTATCATGGTATCTATCATTCATCATCCGATCATGACTGAGTTCTCACTTCCCGAAATGCATGCCTTTACTCGGATCCCAAGTCCCTCCCACAGGCGCTTTTGGCTGTCCTCCGGCTGGAGCTCCAAAGACAATAGGCATGTTCTCGTTCCAAGTCTGGTTCTGCGGCATGGGTGGGCTCTGTACAGCAGCGACGGGAGGCGGGTTAGCACTGACTCGCTGTGGCATGGGTGCTGCGAGAGGTGCTTCTGGAGGCGCGGCGGGCTGCACACTACCTCTTCGACTCGCAGCTTCGGCAGCTCTTTGATGAAGCAAGCTCTGTTGAGTATCTTGCTGTAATTGCAGACCAGCCATGGCCGTCGACAGATCCGTCTCAAGCCCACTCGCTTCTTGTCGCCGAGAATAGTGGAAATTTCGGCATTCGTCTCGGAACCGCGTGGTAATCGCTGCGAGATCGTTGTAGAATTTTCGTCCCGTCTCGAGATTGCGCATGATCTCTTTGTAGGCGGTGTATGCATTCTCAAGATTTTGAAGTGCCATCTCGCGCTCTTTGGAGCTCGAATCTCCTCGCTTCGCCGCCTGAAAAGACTGATTTGCTTGCTCCACTCGGCTCAGAAGCTGGTCTTGCTCGCGCTCCTCCGTCTTCAACGAACTCTGGTCACTGTCGTACTTCTTGAGTCGTTCGTCGAATAGATTTTCGAATTGTGATGCCTGGACTGGCATCATCGGAAATTCACGCTCGAGCCGAGCAGCTTCTCGAAGGAGGTCTTGATTCACATCATCCGCTTTCGTCTTCAAACGAAGAGTTTCGACTTTCTTCCTTCTGCGGCTTTCTAGCCGGCTAATCTCGTTGAGCGTTGCCCGCAGTTGATTTGCTTCTCGCTCTACCTTTGCTGTCATCGTTGCGCGTCTCGACGAGGGCACGTAGTCCTCCAGATCGCGATCGTTACCGCTAAGTAGTCTGATGAGCGACTCATTTTCCCGAAGCTTGGCCTGCACAGTCTTGTCCGTTTGGTCAGCTGCCTTGAGCCATCCATCTATATCGTTGACCTGCTGATACAGCTTCGGCTGCACATCTTTACCAGCAGGTCGTGTCCACCGATCGGTGCCGAACTTTCTTCGAGCAGCTTCGTCTTCACCAGCTTCTGTTCGCAGCGAGTCAATGCCTTCTTGATAAAGGACGCGGTTATTGGCCTTGAGCTTTTCTGTGTCTGCAATGGTGTTGTGCAATCGATGCACGCCACCTGCTTGACGGACCTCATCTGCGTGGCTTGCAAGGCCTGGTGGCAGTCCAAGCGGCTTCTCCAGTGCCTGCAGTGATCCTGGCAGATTGAGGCTTGACAGTAGCTCGTGTATTCGAGCGGTCATGGCTTCGAGTTCCGAGATGATGGTGTTGTTGACCAGTCGATCTCTCCTGTCGGCATAGATGGATGCCGCGACATGTACGCTGTAAGGAACAAGCTTACTGAAGAGTGGCTTTCCTAACTCCGCATGATCCTCGAGCATCTTTTGCGATTCAGCGACTTCCTTAGGCACTCGTGACTGCACCATTCCTGCTCGGTCTAACGGTCTGAGCTCACTCTTGGGAGGCTCGGGTTGGAGATAGATTGTGTCATTGTCCTTCTCAGCTCTTTTCAAATCCTCCGAGACTCTGTTCTTGAGCCCATTCAAGTCTCCTTGTACTGCCTTGTTGACGTGTCGCGACTCAGCCAAAGCCAGATTGACGCAGTTCAGACTATCCCTGAGCCTGGCGACCTCCTCGCCGTACTTCCTCTTCTCTAGACAATCGCATGCAGCGCGGTACTGTGCAGCCGCGGCGAAGTGATGATGTTTTGCATTGACATGATGTATCCACTCGCTCCGTATGCTTTCCGACTTCAGGCTCCAGTCGTTGGCATCATTGTACAGATCGCTGACCTTAGCTGCGAGCTTGGCAATGATGGCGTCTTTCATGCCGTCCTTGACAGCTTTTTGCCAGAAACATTCCTGAGCTTCGGCGAGCATCAGCGCTTCTAAGGCTTCCAGCGTGCTCGGATCAAGGTTCTCGGGTGGTGCTGCTCGCATGTCTGGGACCACGTTCTCTCGCAAGTGCTTGAATGTGCCTGCGGCGAAGCAGAAGTTGTTGGCAGCTGTCTTCAGACCATCTCCAGTGGCTCGATTGGAAGAGATGGCGAGCTGCGAGTACATCGCGGCGAGGTTGAAGAGGACGTTGGCGAGCTCGAAGCGTATGTTGTTCTCAGTCTGCGGTCTGTCGACATGGTAGCCAAATGAGGGATACCAGACGAAGTTTGCGCCTATCTAAACGATGTATCTCGGTCAGCCATCTCTTTTATCTCATCCTCCAGCTTCTGTTTGCACGTACATCGACCGGGAACTTCCCTCCCATGTAGACGAGCTGTGCCGCATAGGACTGGATCTTCTTGACGCCGCTGCTATGCGGCTCGAGCGCATTGACTGCATCTCTGCGAAGCTGATCGATGATTTCAAGATCTCGTGCGAACTCGTTTGGATGCTGATCGTACTTGGTCGAGATGTGGTTTCGGATGGCTTCTGAGAGAGTGATGCTATGCGTGCGTCTGAAGGGGATCTGGAGGATGTTGCCGGCCTGCATTTTGCGAAGCCGTTCTACAATGACGGGCACATGGGAAGACCTCACTCTTGGCGAGACAGCCAACACAGGTGCACAGTCAGCAGAGCCTCAATGGCGGGGCGGGACGGAGCTCCATACATACCAGATTGTCAATAGAGGGTTGGCTTCACTTTAGTCTATTGTCGCTTCCTATTATTCCTGTACCTTCCTTACTAACCTTACTATACCTATTGTCGCGACAAACCTTACTTAGACTTATAACTTCGCGCCTTGCCTCGCAATATTCTTCTTCTATCGATACCGATACTAATAGCGATACCGATAGTAGTAGCCGCTATAACTAGTATTCCGCGCGACCTTATTCTTAGCGCAGCTTTAGCAGCTTTAGTAGCTTTAGCTTTAGTAGCGCAGTTACTAGCAGCGTAGTTACTAGTAGCGCAGTTACTAGTAGCGTACTTACTAGTAGGAGGAGGAGAATATTTATCGTAAGTCGCGAGGCGTATCGCTATAGACTCGCTACTAACTCGCTCTAGACTTCGACGCCCTACGACTATAAATACCTACGATTTCTAGTATTATAGCGCGTAGATATAGCAAGAGCTACTCGATTAAATAGCGATACCGGATAAGAAGAAGGCAGTATTAAATAGACTACGGAAATATAAGGCTACTAGACTTATTATAGAAACGGACTCTAGCAAGCTTGTACTAGCGCTATGCTACTACTATATACGCTCTAATAACTTTAAGTATCGTATACTTAATACTAAGGGCGAGCGAGTCTACGCTTATTATAAGTATAAGGGCAAGTCTAGCTATACGGCTAGTATAGAGGTTAAAGAAGACGATAGAAACAGCGAGCTAGCCGCGATATAGGCGCGAGTCGAGGCTATAGAGGCAAAGAATGCTACATTAGAAGCAAAGATTAAGGAATTAGAAGCTAGGTTCGATAAGTTAGAAGGATATTGCCTCTCTTAGTTTAAATAGCTTAAGAATAAGGCTATTATTAAGTCTAAGGATATATATACGATATAGAAGGAGCTATAGCTAAATAGCGATCGCGAGCTACTAGTAGATAATGTTTAAGGAGCGAGTCTATAGCGAGTCTATAGCGAGTCTATAGCGAGTCTATAGCGAGTCTATATTTCTATTTTATTTCTTCTTCGATCGTATCTCTATAGATAATAGATTAACTAGCTTCTAAGTACGCTTTAGCTTCTAACTCTTCTATCCGCTCTAACTATCTTGCTAACTACCTTACTAGCTATCTTGCTAGCTATCTTACTAACTATCTTGCTAGCTACCTTGCTAACTATCTTGCTAGCTATCTTGCTAGCTATCTTGCTAGTCCTTAGCTTCGCTCGACTCTTTTAGAATAGGCGTAACTCGCGGTAGCCTCGCGGTGTCCTCGCCGCTTAGGTTAATAAACTTAGGCGGCTTTTTAGTATCGATTATCTTCTCCTTCTATAGCTTCTCTTACTTAATCTCTATAGATAGAACAACCCCGTCCTAACTCGCTATAGCACTCGCGCTACTACTCGTAGTAGGAGTACTTAGCCGGTACTTTCGCTTTAGTTGCCTTTATTACTATAGCTTCCGCTATTGTTAGATATAGATTTTAAGGTAATAGATTAGTAGCTGCTTTGTTGCTTTCCCTCCTATTTACGGTTTAAAGAGCATAAGAGCCTGTTTAACTAGTCCTAGGCCGAGTGCTTTAGATAAGACTTTATCTAGTAACAAGCGCTTCTTATCGAAATTAGTATAGAAGAAGTGCTCCGTATAGTCGTCGACCTAATAGACGCTACCTTACGGTAGGTCCTTAGCGTTAATCCGACTAAGAACCTAGTCTATAAGTAATATATTAGCTTCTTCGAAGTCTTTGTTAGACTAGATATTAGTAATAGAAGTCTATAGGACTAGCGGATTATATTCCTATAGGTCGACTCTATCCCTACGAGAAACCTCTACTCGCTAGCTAAAAACTAAATAGCGGCAGGTAAATAATGCCTTTGTTAGCTCCTTTAATGCTTGTATAGGTGTTAGTAGACGTTGCGAGAGGCTCCGAGATCTAGCATTTAGTCGAGAAGTTAGCTTATACTACTAAATAGCAGCATTGCGTATAGTATTCGCTGCCTTAGGTAGAGAAGGGAACGCATTAAAGCCTCGTACTATACTCGCAGTTGAACTCGTAGTAGCAGCAGCTGCTACCGCTGCTGCTACTAACGGCTCGCGTATAAATCGCTCGGTTAGTAGATTAGGGTTCTTAAGACTATATTAGTTACAGAATGCGTATGTTTTTAATAGTGTTATATAGTTAGCGCCGGTAATAGTATAAAAGGTACCCTAGACAGGCATTGTTAGCAGTAGAACTAAGGTAGAACTATAGCAGTAGTTAGTATAGAGGTAGAACAAGATAGGAATTAAAAGATTAAGAAGGAAATAGAACTAAAATAAGCGATTCGCGGCCGGCTCGCGGCCGGCTCGTAGATCCCTTATTTTAGATTAGTATATATTATTTGCAAACTCAATTAATCTAGCCCCGGTATTCGCCCTACCTAACGTCTAATTACGAGCTGCTAATAGCTTGTCTAACTCTATTAGTTTAGGCCCTAACCCTATAGCTATATGCTCGGCAATTAGCTGTCGAAGAAGTAAGTATACCTAGCGGTAAACTCGCTCTCTATCGCTATTATTCTCGCTACTACTAACTAGATACGAGAAGCCGCGAGTCTATAATACTATCTAACACTAAGTAAGCGTAGCCTCGGGCAGGTAGGCTTCAAGATCTAGGAATAAGCGAGTCTATTAGCGAGTCTATAGCGAGTACTATAGAATCTAATATATACCGAATCCTTAAAGGTCTTGCTCTATATTATTAAGTACGCCGTTAGGCATAGGAATACCTTAATAAGAATGCCCGCTTAGCTCTAGATAATAGTATAGAATATGCGAAATACCTAGTACGACGTATAGTCGATTAGCCTGCTTCCTAATCCGATAGCTATTCTAGAGGTAAACAAATTCGAGGACTTTATAGCGTATAATTAGTATATAGACTGCAAGGAAGGCAATCCGATCGGCTAGCAGTTTAGCATCGTATAGTAACTCGCGTAGCAACTCGTAAAAATAGCCCCTCTAGCTATTTAATGCGGGTACTTGCTAGCGCTACTATACCTTAATCCGCTAGTTTATCTTGCTTATACCGTATTTAAAGCAGTCTTCGAAAGCTAGTAGTTCTAGTTCTAGTTCTAGTTCCGGTTCTAGGTTACTACGAGTCGTAAGGCGAGTCGTAAGGCGAGTCGTATAGTAAGCGTCCGCGGCTAGGATCGTTTCTGCCCTACGGTCTAATCGGATAATCTATAGTATTATACTACTATTCTTAATCGTTGCAATATATTAAGCGAGTACGGATATAGCTATACGGCTAGTAATCCCTACGTAGACCTAGATAATATAACGCGAGTAGACATTAATAGCTACGTAGATCTATATCCCCTAATACTCGAATTTATAGTAAGCATCTATTAATATTGCGTAGCTAGGGCCTAGTATAATAATCGCTCTATAGTACTCTCGCGCCCGCTCGTAGCGGACTCGCAACCCTTTAGGATTTATTAAGCAAGCTATACGATATAGCCGATCTCTACTAATAATATTATATTTAGACCTAATATAGGTATATAGGTGCCGTCGGCTAAAGGACTCTACTATAGACTTCTCGAGCTCTTCCTATAAGACCTCTACTATCTCCTCTTCCGCTTCTATCTATCTATCTCGCGATAATGCCTTCTTTAATCTAAGCTCTTAACGTATCTATTAATATCTCCGCTAGCTAATATTAAATCTATCTATCTTTAGTACTTTAACCGCTTCTTTATTAATTAAGCGTAAAGCGGAGAAGGTATATACGACTCGGATCTTTAGTGCCTCGATATTATTAACTCGGTTATAGTAAGCGTAATAGCTATAATTAACCCCCTATTCCTTAAGCCTCCGATAAAGCGTAGAAAGAGCTATCTAGTAACTAGTCTCTTATATAAAGTACTATAGGATTTCGCCTTATATAGTGCCGCTATTAACTTGTAAGATTATCTAAGCCCTCTATAGCGAGAGATCGATACGTAGAGGCATTTTGCGAGTCGATAGCGAGTATAGTGCGAGGGCAAACATAGAAAGTGGGTTGGTCGTGGAGGTAGGTTGGTAGAGGCGGTAAGAACCTCCATTGACAATCTGGTATGTATGGGCCTCCCTAGGGCGGGGCCATCTGGTGAAGGTGGCGCTTGGACGGAAATAGACGCGGATGAGCAAGTATTCTCTCAATGTGGTAGAAAGGCGAAGGCGAAAGAGCACGGGATTTTGCTATTGATGTTGGCTTTGGCTCCCTGTTCCTGAACCAGCACGAGTGTATTCTACCGCTACCGCTACCGCTACCGCTGCCCGTCCTCTTCCTTTGTCCTCGCCTGCCTGCCTCAACTGCCGATTACCAATCCAGAAACAAGACAGCTTGAGTGTCCATAACATCTCCTCGCTCCTGCAACAACGAACGAAGCACATAGCACCATGTCGGAACACAAGTACAAGTTCAATGTCACCATGACCTGCGGCGGCTGCTCAGGTGCTGTCGAGAGAGTCCTGAAGAAGCTCGAAGGTGCGCATTTCCCCTTCGCATCTGGCTGTCGCAACTGATCATCTCGCCTTCGCCAGGTGTCAAGTCCTACGAGGTCTCTCTTGACAAGCAGACCGCCGAGATCACGACCGACGACTCGCTCAGCTATGCTCAGGTTCTCGAGAAGATCAGCAAGACGGGCAAGAAGGTGAACTCGGGTGAGGCTGATGGTGTCGCACAAGCTGTGTAAAGAGGAAGTGCATATATGAGCCGCACTCTGGGCTGTTGTATGGAGTATAGCCATATGCAAGACCTGCGTCGGGACGAAATACCAGGCAACGAACGACTTTGCAAGTATGCAATGCAGTCCATTTGCGCAAGTGTGCACCAAATAATTCGGATAAACACCCAAGCGGTCCAATTTTCTCCATCTTCTCCGAAATCGTCACAGTCATCGCGCTTTTGGATCACGTCGTCTGCGCTCAGGTCTGCCACGTCGACATCTGTATGCCATGGTCAAGACGAGACTGCTTCTGGCAAACTCGCTGACCGAATCTCTTTAGAGAACTTTCGACACACCACTGGGCAGGAACTCCTGTTAAGCTAGGCACACATCCGCTCTGCGCTCTCTTTCACAGCATTCGAAGTCATTCTGCACAGATATGAACGTTACAGAATCTCGTTCCTGGACCTATGGCATGCATGCTCTCATGTCTCTGCAAGCGGTCGCGAATGCACAGCAGACCATTTTCTCGGAAGCGCTTCGTTCTCAAACACGGCCAAGACTCTCAAGCCTTTGCCAAGACGGACCGAACGTGACAGCCATACGACCACATGTCTGAGCTTGATTGCAACTGCTTGAAGAGTCGAATTCTCCGTTGTCCATGGACCGTCTTCATTTCATTCATACGGTACCTATGCATCCCAAATCGCCTCCCACATGGCACTCACAAGTGCTGGCTCCAAGATGCTCTGAGACGTTTCAGAACGGAGTACAAGCACGCATTAGCCACACGCCGTTCCTGTATTGAGTCTCTTCATCTCAATTCCGTTACACTGCACCTCTTGGTCATCTGCCGTTGATGCGGATGCTGCGCAATGCTGTCGCGGCTCCAGCATCTGGCAGGATCCATACTTAATAAATCTTTCAAGCATTCCAGTAGGTCTATCACAAGCCATCCGACCTTTTCCTTCTTCACCACAGTCACTCGTCCAAATTCATATTTTCTACAAATATGCATTTCACCACTTCTCTCGCCCTGGCGGCGATTGCTTCTGTTGCATCGGCTACACCAGCTACCAAGGTTGCTCGGGCAGACGATGGCCCAATTGGGTATGCTGCACAGAATGGCGGGTACGTTGGCGTTGAGTGTTTCTATTGACATTGAACTGATGAATTGAACAGCACCACTGGTGGCGCTGGCGGTACCACAACCACAGTCTCCGCCCTGAGCGCCTTCACTGAGGCTGTCACTGCTGATGGGGCCGCGGTCATCTTCGTCAAGGGAACCATTAAGGGCAATGTCCAAACCAAGGTTGCCAGCGACAAGTCCATCCTGGGCATCGATTCAAGCTCCGGCCTCGAGGGCGTGGGCTTGTACATCAAGGACGTCTCAAACGTCATCGTCCGCAACCTGGCCATTTCCAAAGTCCTGGCTGACACCGGCGATTGCGTTGGTATTCAGAAGAGTACCAACGTCTGGATCGACCACATGGATCTTTCCTCCGACCGTGACCACGACAAGGACTACTACGATGGTCTCTTAGATGTCACTCACGCCGCCGACTTTGTCACAGTCTCAAACACCTACTTCCACGACCACTGGAAGGCTTCTCTCGTCGGTCACAGTGACAGCAATGCCGATGAAGATACCGGCTACCTTCACATCACATATGCCAACAACTACTGGAAAAATGTCAACTCTCGTGCTCCTTCCATCCGTTTCGGTACCGCGCACATCTTCAACTCGTACTATGACACTCTCGATACCGGTGTCAACACTCGTATGGGCGCTGAAGTTTTGGTTGAGAGCACTGCTTTCACTGGCTGTAAGAAACCCATTCTGAGCGTGGACTCCGACACCACTGGCACTGCGGCTGTCAACGATGTTGACCTTGGTGGTGGCACCAACACTGCTCCGCAAGGCTCTTTGACCGTGGATTACGACTACACTTTGCTTGGAAGCGCGAGTGTGAAGTCGGCTGTTGTTGGTGTTGCTGGTAACACCCTCACTCTTGGGTAATTTGAGCCGTAGGGTCTGGATTCTGCAGCTGCGAACTCTATGGCTTATGCAGATTTGGCAGTACTTGACAATTGAACCGATGCTGTAGGATTCGCGACGCTTCGTGCACAAATCCCAGTTCCCTATCATCGTCCAAGTCACGCAGTAGCCTCGTATGCTCTTCTCAACTCGCAAGCCGATCAACGAAGATGCGACTCTTGAGATTATTTGTTCTCACCGCATCCATTCACAGTTGACAGCTATTCGGGTTAGAAGGATTCACACGGATACGTGGTGACCTGATCTTCAGCTCAAAGCCTTCGTGGCTTTCAGCTCAAGCTCGACTGCCCAATGGCAACCATCACCTTCGCCAAAGATCCAGATTGACCATTAACATGACTTTGCAGCCGAACCAGCTGTATGTGACGTGTAGCTTTATAGAATTACTTTCCACCAATGCATTCGGCACGACCGATGAAGAAGAAGCTGGGCTGAGAGGCCGCAAATGTAGCTAGAGCCCTGGGCCATGAGCTGCTGAAGGTATAAGAACTTGCTGCCTGATCGTCTTCCAAGTGACACAGACACAGACACAGACACAGACACAAGCATCTTTGCATCTACCTACCAGCATACTACCATGTCTTATCCCACCAAGCCAGCCTTCGTCCATTACGGCGACTGGGACGATGAAACCCGTCAACATGAAGCAATGAAATTCATGGAAGACTACACACACGCCTTCGATGCCAAGTACTAGAACTCCGAGCCATATACCAAGTACCTGACCGACGATCGTAAGTTCCATTCCATCGCAGTCACTGCCCAAAGTCCGCGCTAATAATCTCGAGAAAGACCTCCTCGTCCGCTCCACCGGCCAAACCGACCAAGGCGGCGAAGCAAGTCTCGCAGCCCTGAAGAACGAAATCTATGCTCCCTTCGCCGCCTATCACCACGAGCCAAGCTTCATCGTAGCCTTCGAAACCGAGCAAGGTTGGGAGATGATCGGGATTGCCACGCTTTGGTGGAATCTTGCGGTGCCTGGTGATGGGCCGAAACAGAAGGATGGCAAGGGTAAGGAGTGGGAAGGTGGTGTTCCGGCTGCGTTCAAATTTGGGTATCGGAAGACTGGAGATGGGATCAAGATGTCTGAGACGAGGATCATGGCGGATCCGAGCGGCGCGTTGGTCGATATGGTGAAGCGTGGGATGGTGAAGCCGGAGCAGATTTTTGGATAGGATAGGATAGGCCTCGCCAGCGTCTTAGCGGACTGAATAAGAGTATGTTGGATTCAACCTTCATCATCATCACTGTCTTTTTCCTCTTTCCAATAGATGCCCATGCCGTCGAAAATATTCGGATCCACTTCAAAATTCGGGAATCGATACACACCTCTCCCATCGCAGAACCTTTTCGCTAGTATTCCTGCCTCGATGTCGCTGGCCAAGATTTTCCGTGATGCTGCTGTGGCCTCCGCCCGTGCTCCCCTCTCAATCAGCCCCTTCATCGAGCTTCCAATGTACAGAGCGACGTCAGTTTGAAGCAGCTCTTGCACCATTCCCGCATTCATATCAACAAAAGGCTCAAAAAGCAGTGCTTCAGGCTCGAGAATTTCTTTCGCAGGACCGAGGGCAGCATCTCCAGTAGTCATTCCCAGCACTTTCACATCAAGCGTTCCGAGAAACTTCTCATCCAGCTCAGTAAACGCGGGCTCTTGCGCATACATCTCTGTAATCCCAAGCTCTTTCACGATTCCCATAAATACTACCATTTGCCAGACACTTCTCCTCCTGCATTCCACGTTGTCGCGACTCAAGCTGCCGCAGCCAAGGCACACGGCGCGTCTGATGTTCCAGCCTGTGTCTGGACGAACGCGACCCAGGAGTGTGGAAAGTGCTTTGCGGCAGCTCGATTGCATCCATGTTTTCGATTTGGCGGCAAACTCGGTGGTGAGCGAGTCGATGGTGAGATCTCGAGCCGGTGGATTGTGCGAGTTTGCGGGCTTGCGGGCTTGACTTTTCTTCGATTTCGCGACGTATGTCCATTCGTCGTCGGCCATGATGGGAGGGATTGTTCATCCCCTAGATCGGTATAGATAAGTTCTATGAGCATGTAGACTTGGCTGTGGGACTTGGATGGACAAAGAAGACCTGCTTAGATCTTCCGCAACAGCCCAGTGCAGGCATACTTAGACGCATCGTCGAATTTCTACGACGCCTCTGTGTAGCGATTGCGACGAGAGGCCTAGCAAGAGAGAACGTGCAGCTCTAGAAAAAGGGTGCAGGTCTATGAAGTTATTTATCACATGGTTTTGATTACATATTCTAAGTCTACGAAGCTCAAACCTAAATGATTCTACTCCAAAATTAAATTTCATCATGCTCAATGCCTGTCTTGTCAGAAGCTACACGAAAATGAGAATGGTAGGAAGGATGTGCTCAAATGTTCTTCTCGATGCAGTCCTGAATGACCTTGTATGCGCCAGTAGCATTGTGATGCAGGTTCATTCCATGTCCAGCATCAGGCTGGACATAAATGTCGAAGGGCTTTGCAGCAGGGAACAAAGGCGCTGTCTCATCATCAAAAAAGGTGGTCGTGCAGTATGACTCGCAAGCGGCCTGGTCGTACTCGCCTGCGAACACCAGGACCGGCGCAGAGAAATCCTTGGCTTCCCATGATCCAATGGTCAGAATTTCGCCTACGCCGGTAGGTTGCTTGATCTTCTCCGACTCGGCTAGAACTTCTGGGACGAAAGCGCCGTAGTGGAAGAAGTTGTACTGATTTGCCAACTCATCACCCCACGTCAGATATCCAGCGCTGGAACTGAGCTTGCTCCAACCTGGGAGGACTGCTCTTGCAAGGTGGGCATTGGCAGCGATCAGTAGATGTGATGACGCATTCTTGGAGAATCCAGTCTGAACCAGGCCATCGGAGATCTTTGGATATTGAACGACCAGCAGATTGGCAATAATGGTTCCAAAAGAATGTTCAACGTGTACAATCTTCTGAGAAGGTGTGATGTGCTTAAGAGCTGGTAGATCCCTTGCGTGAAGGCCTCAGTCAAGAGCCTTAGCACTTCGACCTCGATTGGGACTTGAGTGATTGTATAGGGGTCCGGCTTTGTTGACTGGCCGTTGCCGATGCGATCGTAAGACAGCGTGGCAATCCAGCGTCATTCGCGGCCTTGATATAGTTGTATTGGCTATCAGGGCCGCCAAACGACCAATACCTCTGATCAAATCCAACACCATGAGTGAGAATCTGGGTCACATTCTTTGCCAGGCCTTTTGGCGGGCAGTACTTGGCGGCAATCGTGACTTCGACTTGTACGTTCGAGTTAATGCCCTTGACCAGTGCTTGCCGAGCTCGTGGATCGCGAGAAGTGGCATTGACCAGAAAATCCACCGCTTGATAATGGATCTCGAAGGGAGGGAAGCTTGGCTCTAAGGACTGAGCTTCAAACTTCAGTGGGACTTCGAAGTCGATGCAGCCAGATGAGGGTTGCTGAGGAATGGCGTGGGCCACGTCGAATGGCATAAAGGCGAGGAGTGCGAGCAGCATGTTGTAGATCGTTTTGAAGCGGCCAGATTGATCTGATGAGCGGCCGTGTCTCCATTCGTGGTTCCATGTCAAGACAAATATGAATTTTCTTCGGGACCTGTCGACGACGTCGTTTGAGGCATATCCCACGTCATGAATGCCTGCATAAACGTATGCGAGGCGATTCGTCACAAATACTGCACATCTCGTTCAGCTACGATGGCCACAGTAGGATTAGCTGAACCGCTTCATTGCAATGCTTGTCCGAGACATCCATAGCTCTCAAGATGACAATGCGCGTGAAAGCACCGCCTCCACGATATTAATCGTGACAGTTGAGCTGATGCATAGAAGAGCTGGTTTGTTTTCAAATTGTGTCTCAGAGAGCACCGGGGTCGGATGTGTGCTGACCTGGAAAGCCATCGGGCTATGCTAGAGGAAAATCAAACAATCTCTCCCGTCTGCAGATGCGAATTGCTTTGTGCTGATCAATGAGCGGTGAGCGGAGGAAAGTGAGCTGGAGGAAGTTTGAGGCAGGCAGCCGGTCGGGCCACGGACAACGTCGGCCCGAGTCAATCTCCCAGCCATTTTGCTTTCTGTGAACTTTTCTCTCAAAGTCGCTACACATTGGCGAATGTGATTTCCGGTCCGAATTGACTCTTCACACATCACCTGTCACAGAAATTCCACACGAGCTCTAGTACGGCTTACCATCATTTCCGAGCGGTCATGCGCGACGCTGCTGAGGACAAGAGACTCAATGAGGAGCACAACTTCATATCATCTGGCCTAGGATATGTCTTGCATCCGACAATCAAACAATCCCTTGAGAACTCGAGAGGAAGTAACTCGGAGAAATTGAGATTCGCAGACATTAGCCAGGGAGAGTAATTTTCTGCCATGGCGTCACTTCCATTTGCCCCCCAAGACTTTACTGTCCACAAGATTTCTTTCGACAGTGTGATCAAGCCGTTAGGCATTGCATCTGAGGACCGAGGTACTTACGATGTAGTGTGTATACGACTGCTGCATGCCTCTCTTGAACCACATCAATGGGACGAAGCAATGAAAAATTTGGTGGCTCTTTTGAAGCCAGGAGGCTGGCTTCAGTGGGTGGATTGGGATCCAATGACGGCGAGAATAGCCACTGTCAAGCCAGGTGCGCCAGATGGCATCTTACGTGGACTGCTGAACGACTACGCAGACGCCATGCGAGCTGCCAGGGTTGGCAACACATATCGAATCCCTAATGCAATGCGTCCATATCTCGAGGAGGAGGATAGTGACATGTACACCATAGATCCTTCAGTCGAGCTGAGCAAGATCATTGCTTCTGGGGCCATCTCATATGTTCAGCGAGTTGGGAAGTATACATCAGCTGAAGCTGGGGAGGTTGGCGCCAAAACAGAGCAGGAGATTGACGAAGCCGGATCTCTTTGTTTCTTCGATCTGTGGGCTCACATCGGTCGGAAACATGTGTCATGAGACAGAGTTCCATGACGACTGCATAACGATCGATCTGGGTGTTGTTGTGGTTCAGTCAGGTGATATGCTGGTCAGCTGATACTATCAGCTAACCTATACTAAGAGGAAGGACACACAATGGGTATATTAACTGCAGTTTCTGTAGCAGGCTCCTAATCCTTCTTCGTATAGTTATATAGTTGTCAATCCGATAATTAGTTGCATCCTTAGCACAATTTACAATAGGTTATAAGCCCGGCGCATACGCTTACCTATCCAGTTCAACTATAAAAGAACTGTTTCTAGAGTCTACTAAACAGAGCTAGCTATCTAGACCTATTAGGTACCTAGTTAAGAGCTCTAGTTCGGACCAAAACCTAGCAAGTGTCCCTTATAAGCCCTACCTAGCACTATACTAAAAGGCAGCTAGGAACGATAGACACCAATTAGACAAAGACAGCAAAGGAGAATTAGGTTCTTAGGAAGGGGATCAACTTCTAAGACTAGAAGCTTATATTCTAGGCGGCCCTTCTAGAAAAGGACCTAGTTAGTATAGTATTCTATAGACTTAACTAGGCTAATAAAATAAAACTACCCCTAAAAAGCATGTTTATAGGGGACTCAGCCGATCAGTAGTATAGAGATATGTTTAGGGACTGGAAGAAGAAAGACATCTAAGCCCTAGGTATACTTATTGCTAGACTCGACCCTACCCTTAGACTAGACTTCGGTAATATACCTAAGTCAGCTAAGGATATATACGACCACATTAAGGCTCTATATAAGCCTATTGTAACCGTAGACATATTTAATACTATTAAACTTATTAAGTATATTAGGATGCCCCTTACTAATCCGAATACCTAGCAGTACTACGAATCTTTTTAGCAGTAGTTCAACAGATTCTAAACATCGATAGAACAATTTGCTAGCTTAGTTACAACAATAGAAGCGCCTATAAAGTCATTAAACATTAAGATGCCTGATATGCTTATTAGGATGCTGTTTATTTAGGGCCTTTCTAGTTACGAATAGCTCAGATCCTAGAAGCATAACAATAAGCCTAAAGCTAAGGACTCCTCCCTTAAAGCAATAATAACGTCCCTAAGGAGAGAAAAGCCTCCTAGACAGTCATCTAGCGGCTTAAAGCTTATTAGAGGGGCTATTAGCAATAATGACGACTAGTACACTTAGTGTAAGCATAAGCACACTAACGCTAAGTGCTACAAGCAACACCCTAATATAGCACTACCTAGTTAGGGAAAGAAAGACAAGAGCAAAGACAAAGATAAAGACAAAGGCAAGAAGGGTAAAGGCAAAGGAAAGGGCAAATCTAGTAGTACTATTAATAATAATAAAGATGAATTAGACTCCTCCTCTAACTCGGAAGATAAGGGAGACTATTAGCTAGACGGCCTTAGTAGGGGCCTAATTAGGGGAGCTATTGCAAAGCCGGGACTAGCTATAGCAAGCTCTAAGAACCTAACAGCTAATACAAAAGTTTGGGACACAGGTACATTACTGCACATTATAGGGAATAAGAGCTAGTTCAGCGATCTTAAGTACCTAACTAAGCCTATTCAGTTCTCCTAAGCAGTAGGAAAATTAAGTGTATTACGATTAGGAACTGTTAATATCTTCCTAACCTATAAAGGAAAGAAAACCCCAATCACTCTAATAGACGTCCTCTACTCCCCGAACTTAGATTGCAACCTAATCTTAGTAGAGCGTCTTTAGAAGAAATGTAGCATTCACTTAGACAGACCTTTAGGCACTTTGATACTTAAAGGCAAGCTAATTAGAAAAGTTAAGGAAGTATAAGGAGTACTCGCCCTTAAAGATGCTAGAGTCAAAATGCTAGGCTTAGCTTCAAAACTAAACTTAGAATCGAGTTAGAAAGGGCAGCTATTAGCCCTAGCTATCGCTAGACTACGAGCGGATATATTGAGATAGCATTAGAGACTTAGCTACGTCGGTAACAAGATCCTAATAGCTACTAAGGAAGCCATTCTAGGCCTAGAAGAAGTTGATACATCTGAACTCGAGCACTATAAGACCTATAAGCTCTCGAGAGCTTAAAGAGTTGTATTAAGAGAATACAGAACCAGACTAGAAAAAGCCCTTAACGAAGTCTATATTAACCTTGTTAGCGTACAACCATTTGATCTGTTTAGAAATAGGTATATTATAATCCTAACTGATGCTAAAACTAGGCTTAGGTAGGGTCTATTACTTCGAAACAAAGACAAGGTAACAAGTAGTAACAAGCTAACTAACTAGATAGCTAGAATCAAGAGGCAATACAACAAAATCCCTAAGATTATCTTTAGTAATAGCGGGGGAGAGTTTACTAACAACGATCTAGTACATTTTGTAGAGGAAGTTAGCATTAGATAGGATGTATCTATACTATATATACCGGAGTAGAATAGCATTATAGAGTCGTTAAACAAGACGATTCTGCTTAAGGCAAGAGTAATAATGATTGACTCTAGCCTACTAATATACTACTAGTGCTTTACAGTAATGCATTCGATTTACCTAACTAATAGACTAGTAAACTTAAGAACTAAGGAAGTTCTACTTAAGGCTTTCGAATCAGACTTGAATATCGGCAGCACAGACATTGACCTATCTAAGACGAGACGATTTAGCTATAAGGCATTTAAATACCTCGAGTCCGGGGTTGAACGACTTAACTCCTAGAAATTTGTACTAAGAGCTTTCGTTTACTAGTTTATTAGATTCTAAGAAAATTTATTAACAAACTATCTGCTTTAGAACCCGCACTAGAAGGATAGCGTATAGCAGCATAACATTAGATTCTCTCTATACGTTACCTTTAACGAGGACTTTGTCTACAAAGACAATTTCACTAAGCTTCTAAGTACCCTTTAAGCTTAGGGGGAGTATTTGAGACTAGCTGTCCCTTAGGAGACTATTTAGGTACTTGAAACCTAGTCTAACCTTTCATTTAAGTTAGGAATCCTAGCACCATTCCCTAGTAATAATCAAACACCTTAGTACTCTTTAGAACCTTAGGGGGAGCCATTTAGAGGTAGCATCCCTTAGCCTTAGTAGGCTTATAATTAGGAAGATTAGGAAGACTCCCTTATAGCTTAGGGGGAGCAAGGTACACTTAAGTAAGGAACACCACCTTAGCCAATACCTACAGCTAATAAGCCAACACTCTAAAATCACTAACTAGAACTACTAGCTGCCTAGCAGGAAGCTGCTCCTAAGAAAAATTAGTATACTTAAGAAACAGATACTGCTAAACTAGAAGACACCTTAATCACTCCCTTCTAAGTCCCTAAGACTACTAGTAAGAGAAAGAGGGCTCCTAACCTACCTTAGCTAAACCCTCCTTAAGCCGAAGTACGACTTAGGTCTAGTAGAGCCGTAGCTAAGTATAACTATAGCAAGATCACTAAGATTGCTGTAGCTGCTACTACAAAAGATGCTTAGAAGCTAGCTGACCCAACAACCCTAGCTAAAGCCCTAAAAAGGCCTAACTAGGATAAATGGAGAAAAGCCGTTACAAAAGAGATAAGGTCTCTTAAAAAGTCTAGTACAATCGAGTGGATTCTAGCCGAATCCCTGCTAAAAGGCAGAATACCTCTAACAGGAAAATAGGTTTTTAAGATTAAATACCTACTAGACGGCTCTATTAACAAATACAAGGCAAGATAGACAGCTAGAGGCTTTATACAGAAGCAAGGTCTTAACTATGTTAATACCTACGCTCCTATACTAAGAGCAGCTACTGCTAGACTTGTCCTTAGGCTTTTAGTAAACAAAAACTAGAAGCGAAGACAGATTGATATCGAGACTACTTTCTTGAATCCCCCTCTAGATAAAGAGATTTTCATTAGACCCCTAGAAGGCGCGCACCTATTCAAGAAGTACCCTCTAAAGTGGATTATCCGTATTAGAAAAGGATTATATAGCCTTAAGTAGGCTGCTAATCTCTAGCACTATAATGCTTTAGACACTCTTCGTCAACTTAGCCTAAGCAGGACAAAGAGTAACTATTACCTATAGCAAGGTAATAGTATTCTTATCCTCCTTTATATAGATAATTTCTAAATCTTTAGAACCTCTAAGGCAAAGATCGATACTCTAATTAAAGGTCTTCGTAAGAAGTATACAATTAAGATTGTTACGTCTAACCTATTTCTAAGCCTTTATCTAAAGGAAGACAAGGAGGGAAACCTTACTGTCTCCTAGACACACTATGCTAAAGAGAAGCTTTAGAAGCATAGCTTAGACTAGTATAAGCCAATAAAGCATCCACTTAAGAAGCTTTACGAGCCTCTTATAACCCCCTATAACCGTTAGGACTACTAGCTATTTAATACTATAATTGGTAAAATGCAGTTTCTAGCTAACTAAACTAGACTAGACATTAGCTATACCGTTAACCACCTTGCTAGGTTCCTTTAGAATCCCGGACCTAAGTATATTATAGCTGCTAAACATCTCTAGAGGTATATTGCTAGTATAGTTGATAAAGGACTTGTCTTTAGAAAGAAGAAAACTTTAGAATTTCAGGCATACTCTAACGCAGACTTTACTAGTAACCCTTTATTATTAAGATCAATATTAGGCGCCCTTATACTTCTTAACAACACTCTAATTATATAGAGATTATAGCTCTAGAAGGAAGTCGTACTCTTTAGCACTAAAGCAGAGTATATTACTCTAATAGAAGCATATAGAGAAATCTGCTAGCTCCGAAATTTAATAACTAAGCTTCAACTACTTACTAGGGAAGAAGTTAATAGGATTTATATCTAGGTAGACAACTAGTTAGCCATTTCCCTTATTAAGGACTATACAAATTCTAAGAGGTCGAGGCACGTTTCCCTTAGGAACTACTACTATAGAGAATAGTATACCTAGGGAAAGATTAGTGTCGAATTCGTCACTACTAACAAACAGCTAGCGGACTGTTTTACTAAGCCCAAATCTCTAAACAAAATTCTCTAATAATATAGCGTCTCTAGGACAAACTCCTAAGTTACTCCTTTAGAAAGAAAAATCTTATTTGTAGGATTAGAAAACAAGCTTTATACACTTATTGAATTTTATTCTAATTTCTGGAAACAGCCTAGCTACACTATGCAGTCTAAGCTGCAAAATTTCTTTTATAACAATATTAAGACTAAGTAGGAAGAAATACCCTAGCCCTTAAGAGTCAGAAACTCTCTAATGCTACAAGGCTTTTACTAATCCAGACTGCCTAGCCTATTTCAAAACCGAAAACATACATTACAGCTCTCTGTCTACTAAAAAAAACCGAATCTCCCTAATTAGCTACCTATCTTAGCATTACTGTCTTCGTAATTAGAGAAACCCCTCTAAGGACTACTAGAATCACGAGTCGAGCTAGGACTAGTAAACAACCTAGAACCTAGACTACGACTACGTCCCTAAGTAGCAGCCTAGGCATAAGCATTTACCTGCTATAGTAGCAAATTTGCTACTGCCTAGGCGCCCTAAGGAGTACTCTAATCGATGCTAGACGGGACTAGTATATACAGACGACGCTGATTAGTGCCTACTCTACTCCCCGGATTGCGAGGCGGTAGAGGCGCTATAGGCGTCTAACGATTCGTATTAGAGCGTAGCCGAGAGACGTAACCTAACAAAAGAATTAGTGTTTTTGCTTTAAAAAAATATATATAAGACTAGATTCAACTTACTAGAGAACTCGCATTAACTATAATAATTTAGGCTAGTATAGTTAGTGCAAGCGCCCTTTAGGAAAGCGATATCCTAACCGTTAATTCGATAACTTAGAGTTATACACTCTAAGTACGGACCCTTTAACTGCTTGCAAGGACCGCACTAGCTATTACTAGTATATACGCGTCTAGTAGCAGCCGTATATACAAGCGCGGTAGGCAAGTAGTTAATATTCGATTTTAAGCCTAAATTGAATGCCTTAGCCGCCTTGCGCAGACGCGGAGGCATACTTAGAAATAGCCGAGCATTATCCTAGCTCGTAATAAAATGCCTAACATTAACGTTGCGTAGCTAAGGCGGAGTCTGCTCCGGACTAATATTGGTTAAGTACTAGATGATTCTCTAGAGAATCGCGACAGTTAACTAAACTTCCTTAAGGACTACGCCTAGTTAGCAAATTATTAGAAAAGGGGAAACTCTAATAGCAATACTTACTAGTCTCTATAAGCTAGAGCTTATTATAACGCGAAGGGTGCCGATTCTTATTTAGATTATTACTACCGCCGCCGCTACTACTACTACCTATACTACTCGCTATACTCCCTAGGCTAGGGTAAAGAATTATCGCTATAATGAAGTCTCGGCTAGCTATTAGACTTAAAAGGTCTTAGTAAGAATTTGAAATCTAGTAGAGGCTGCTAGTGCTCTAGGGGTTGCTAAAGAGTAGATTGTAAAAGTTCAAGTTGTCTAGTTAAGTTTAAGTGTCTTTTATAAGCGCCTGCTAACCCTACAATCACGACTAAGGACATTACTCTAAAGCAAACCAATCAGCAAACAATATAATACAAGTACGTACAAGTAGCACAGTATATAAAGCTGTATATAAAGCAGATATAGTCTAACATCTAAAGATAGTCAGAAGATAAAGTGAAGCTCTAAGCCTAGATTTGGAGTATCTAATCTAATTAGCACATTATCTCTGCCTAAGGGGGAGTGTTATAGTTCAGTTAGGTAATATGCTAGTTAGCTAATACCATCAGCTAACCTATACCAAGAGGAAGGACACATAATAGGTATATTAACTACAGTTTCTATAGCAGGCTCCTAATCCTTCTTCGTATAGTTACATAGTTATCAATCCGATGATTAGTTGCATCCTCAGCACGATTCACAACAGGTGTCAGCTACCTGTGAGAGAGCCACCACCGTCTTGCCTGAAATGCTGGCTATCCATCGGGAGCAGGCGTGGCACCAAGCAGTGATCACATTGAAAAGCCCTTGCGCGTTTCTGCCAAGTGTGGGACGCCGCAAGATCATTTGAACCACAGCAGAATTTGCTCCGTTCGTGGAAGCACATGCATGCGTCGTGTCGTGAGTCGCATGATCCCCAGCTACAACCTCATTTCGAGTACAGCGCATGGCCAATTCTTGTCGCCGGCAGCAAATTCCTTGATCAGATGGAATCCCTGGCTTTCATAGTATCTACAGACACCACACGTCAGCAAAACAACGCAACTGAGATATGTGTCACATACTTGACGAGCTTGCGATCGTTTCCAGCAAAGCAGTCCAAGCAGATTCTTAACACTCCAGCTTCTCGGACCCGATCTTTCGCAAAAGCTATTAGAGCAGATCCCGCGCCCTTTCCAAGCACACCTGCCTTTCTATTCGACATCAAGTAGGCCAGATAGACGAATGGGTCTTTCTCGTCTTGTTCTGGCAGAATCGAGCGCACATATTCTGGAGATTTACCTTCCAGGACCAGGGCAGAGACAGGTATCGAGTGTGTGCTCTCAGCATTGCCCAGCGCCGTTTCTGCTCCGGCTACAAATGCACGACACCATTCCAACCCCCATTGATTCTCACGTTCACTGCGTTCAATCCACTCTTGTGCTCGCTTTCCAACATCTGGCCTGCTCTCTCGAACGGATTCTGTGCCCCACTGTTCCGCACTCCCTATCTCAGACAGCCAAGCGATCTGGGAGTCCATGAAGTCCACAAGAAGCTCATCATCTTTCTGCTCGAGGGTAGCTGGACGGATCAGGAAAGAAGCCATGTTGCACGCACGTGTGGTAAAAGTGCAGTCTGCAGAGTCGGTAGATAATATTAGCAGGAGAGATGTCACATATATGCAGACCATTTCAGCCTCATGTGAACCGACCTTATTGCTCCCGAGGAATACATCACTATGACTTGTGCGGGACAAGCTTCCCCGTCTGACACTTCCGAGTGAGTGGTGGTCAGCGTTCCTTTTCTCTGAGCCTCTTCAATGGGTTGTGCAAGCTGCGAGCTCTTCTCCAGAACTACACCGTAAAGCTCACAGTACTGCGCTGTGATACCGAGAAGATGTTGGTGCCAACGTGAGGCTGGCCGTGCAGAGAGTTTTGGGAACGCGTGGCGTCTCGACGCGTGTGTAGATCCGATGCGCAGCCAAGGCGGCTGGCTCCACAGTCCACCTCCCTCTTGGCGGAAGGAGCGATGGACGGGACGGGGCAGTATTGACATTATTTTATCAGTCGACCAGCACCTGGCATTGAGTTCTCCTTTCTTGTTGTCTGATGTTCAGTATCTCAAATGCCTAGATATGCGGCATCCATGTTGACGCACGCCCGATGGCAATAATGCAAAAGGGGAGCGCGCAAACTTTGGGCGATCACTCTTGCCTGACGAAGAGCCGATCGTGGGATGCAGATTCACGTCGGAGCAAAACGGAGACGGTGACCTGTCTTGGACGAGTATGCCAGTACTCTCTACGGCATGGCAGACCATCTTTCTCCCGTCACCGAGATGGACAACCTCATGCTCACCTAGATGGACAACCTTATTATGCTCACCTACACCATCTCACGCTGCACGCCTCGGCACAAGCTCCATTCGTGCCTACGTCCTTTAAGACTTGGCTATTGCCCGCCACCTGCACCCGCACCCGCACCCGCACCCGCACCCGCACCCGCACCCTCACTCCAGGACAAAGAGCCAGGCTCCATTGAGCACAATGAATTGCCCGTCACGAACAGACCCCGAACTCCCAGATGGCTGGAACCAGAACCCGAATCCACTGGCCGCTGACACCACCACACGAAGCGATTTAGGCAAGCTGGCCAGCGCCCGCGTGCAGCACGACCACAAGCTCAAATCCCAAGAGGGAGCCGGCGTCGAATTGAGAGCAGTGGGTGGACCCAGCGAAATCGAAGAGGAAGGAAAGTCAGTTCGCGCTCGCGATGGGGTATCGTCCTCCATCGCCTATCCTGGGTTTGGAGAGCAAATGCTGGAAGACACGATTGGCGCACGACGCCGTGATTCTCGCACTCCAAACCCTCAGCTGCCACGCTGGCAGCAACCTCTCGACAGAGCCCGCCGTGGTATCTGGCGATACATGAAGTTCATCGGTCCGGGCTTCATGATTGCAGTGGCATACATCGATCCTGGAAACTATGCAACCGATGCTGCAGCTGGAGCGACTTACCGCTTCAAGTTGCTTTTCATGGTCCTCCTCTCGAACATTTTCGCTATTTTTCTGCAGTCTTTGTGCATCAGGATGAGCACAGTCACCGGTCTCGACCTGGCTGAAATGAACAAGGAGCATTGTCCACGCTGGTTGAACTACCTTCTTTACTTCTTCGGAGAAGCAGCTGTTATTGCTACAGACATTGCTGAAGTGATTGGCTTCGCAATCGCCCTCAACTTGCTTGCACCTAAGCTCCCAGTCGTAGCAGGATGTGCTATTTCCATCCTGGACGTCATGTTCATCCTGCTCTTCTACCAACCAGAAGGCTCAATGCGCGCCTTGCGAGCCTTCGAATGCTTTGTCATGTTTCTGGTGCTCGGAGTCGTAATATGCTTCTGCTATCAATTGTCGTTGGTCAAAGGCGCTACTCCGGGCGAAGTGTTCAAGGGATACCTGCCGTCTAGTGCAATTGTTCAAGGACAGGGGTGGGTGAAGCTCAGTGTCTTTTGGGATACCAAACTAAAAATGCGTACAGTCTGTACCAAGCCTGTGGCATTCTCGGGGCGACAGTCATGCCACATTCACTCTACCTAGGAAGCGGCTTGGTGCAACCTCGATTGAAAGACTTCGACAAGAAGCACGACACCTACAGGACATCTCTCATCGTCGAACAGCATGCCGATGGACCAGCTGCGCAAAAGTACCGCCCATCCATGGCAGCTATCAAGGGCTGCATGAAGTACTCCATCATCGAGCTTGCCATCTCGCTCTTCACCTTCGCGCTGTTCGTGAACAGTGCCATTCTGATTGTCTGTGGTGCGTCGCTCTACTCTGTGGATGGTGCCCAGAACGCAGATCTCTTCGGAATTTACAATCTCCTGAATCAGCAGATCGGTCACGCTGCTGCGACCGTGTTCGCTGTTGCGCTCCTGCTTTCAGGCTGCTCGGCAGGTATTGTCTGCACCATGGCAGGGCAAATGATTAGCGAAGGCCAACTCAACTGGAAGCTCAAGCCTTGGGTTACGCGACTGTTGACCCGCTCCATATCGATTGTGCCGGCCATCCTCGTTGCAGGCACGATCGGGAAGAAAGGTCTCTCGGAAGCTCTGGTTGGATCACAAGTGGCATTGAGTGTCATCCTGCCGTTTGTGACCGCGCCGCTCATCTACTACACTTGCCGCAATAAGTACATGTGGGTGTATAGTGATGTGGTGGAGCGCAATGCAGATGAAGAGGAACGAGCGCAGCCCAGAATCGTTCACATGAAGAACCATTGGCTGGTCATGGTTCTGGCAATCATTATCTGGTTGATCATTGTTATTATGAACGTGGCCAACATCGTGCTAACGGGCTTGGGAGTCAACTAAGGATGTACCAATGATGACGGCGCTCCAAAGGCGCGGTATACTCATTTCTACTCGCTCAAATGTAGCTATCAGACTGGAAAGCGCTTCGCCTGCTCCATCGGCAGGCATTCTGTTCAGACAAACAAAATGGAAAGCTCCAATAACCCGCTCAATTCCAGATGTGTCTTATGCCGCGCCGTCCGTAGCATATTTGCCGGCGGTGTGAGGATTGCCGCAGGAAACGGCTCGAAAGGATATTTACGAGGTTGTTGCATCCGCGCCAGACATCCGCGACTCCTCATCCTCATCCTCACCCTGATGCTCGCTTTTACTCGTAACCCAGCCTCCAACACTTCTCGTAAAAACCTCGAATGATATGGAGTATACGAAGTCCTGGAAAGATGTTGCCAACATGGCTCTGAGCTCAGGGGCCAAGTTGGCGACAAATATAGACATGCCAAGAATAGGATAGAATTTCTAGAAGAAGTTTCCATTTGTCCCGAACCCGGAGCTCATCATATTCGTCGCCTCCCTGCACGACATTTACTGGATGACTTGGAGGCTCAACTGCATCGTGACCAAAAAGAAACTGCATAGCAAAGAAGGGATCCGGTTCTAATAAGCTCCCGAGCAAACAACAACGGTCATAGCACGGTCAGTTGATATATTTTGCGCTCCTGGAGTAACTGATAATTCTGTAAAACTATTTTTTATCTCTCGTGTCACTCGACGGTCTCGACCCGTGGCTGGCGACTGCCCTCTCAAGCATAGGGATGGAGAAGCACGAGCCACAAACTCTATTAAGCTCGTGGACCAAAATGTTTACATTGGTATGCTCGAACTTCCACTATAGACTATTTCTAAGACTCTAGGCGGAAATTAGTAGGCATTAAGAGACCCTCGAGAGCCTCTTTGCCCAACTATCGTAAGGCCCGTGCTAACCGCCGTGACAAAATGGTCCACTAATAGTCTACTACTGTCTATAAGGTGTACCGCAGTATAACTTTGAGAATCCGTATAGACTAACATTGCTACTCAAGCATACACCCTAGTTAAGCGAGATATACCCCCGTCCGCTATCTCGCTTGCTTAGGGTATACGCACATCCTTGCGAAGTCTATCGGCTGCTACAGAAATCTCAGATAGGAAGTGGCAGCAATATCATATAGTGGAGCCATGCAAGAGAAGATTTAGAAGAAGCCCCGGCAGACAGATCGAACAGCAATTCGGATAGGGAGGCTCACATGTCAATCGCAGACCTAGAATCTTCGGCAGTCCAAATCTACTCTGGCCAACTTGCTAACAAGATCTAGCGCTGAATCGCCGTTAATGTTGCAGCGTTCCGAATACGACTAACCGTTCCATTCAGTACATGATTACTACAACCAGGTTGATGGCTCCCGTCAGTAACTTTACGTGGCGAGCTATAAATGCAATTCTGAAGATAGCTCAAACCGGAAATCGGAGTCCTACTATCCGGGAATGACATGGGTTTTATCGTCTAGACGAGGCTGAGCGGTACGAGACCAGCATTGAGCCTTATTATAACCCTTCTCCATCCCTGCGGGAGATTATTACACTCGACTAGCGTAGTAGCAATGGCAGGGAGTGCATGAAGGTTGAGGAATGCGAGGACATAGGCAATTCTGGAATAGCCCGCGGACCATTTAAACGTGTATATAAAGCCTTCCAGGACGCATCATGTTAGAGGTATCACAATCAACATCAACACATCCTCCAACGCCTACACTCATCCTCACCAAGTTCCTCCCAGCCTCTAATCCGAGAATCAGACACGAGTATTCATAAAAATGCATTTCTCCCGCGCTGCTGTCCTCATCGCACTCCTTCCAGCTCTTGGATCAGCGACATGCACTCGATGCAAGAGCAAGAGCAAGGGCAAGGGCACGGGCAAATCTGATTCTCTCGCTGCTTCGATGGTCAACGCAGGCAACGCAGCTGGAGCAAACGACTGCGGAGACTCCAGTTTCGTCAAGGTCACAATGTCCAACAGGCCGCTTGTTGCAGACTGCCAGCAGCTTGTTGCCAATCTTGCTGGCAACCAAGAGTGGAGGGTCACGACTAGTGGTGTTCAGGTGGCTGTGTATCAGACTTGTAAGCTGGCATTGATCGATGACCTTCCAAGGAAGGAGAAAGATGCTGACTTGTGTTCTTGTGCAGGCGCTTTCAATGCCGTGTCCTTTGGTGGCGACTCCATCATCGGGAATGCGGATGTCATCGATCTGATCAACGATTCCATCAGCAAGTTTGAGGATAATGGATACGTCGGTGCGCAGGGCAGCTACAACATGTACGTTGCTTCGTCTGGGTCTGTGCCTTGCTCCGCTGCCAGCGGCGGGGATCAGCAGGTCAGAGTTGACTGGAGCATCGTCCACCCTTGAGCATAGCATCGTGATCTAGTGGAGGTTTCTGCATTCTCTGTCAATTACAGCGTCTTCACGCTTCGGAGGGCTATGACTTCTACGCCTAATCAACAGCTAAGCCGAGTTTTCAATTGGCCCAAACCCTTGGTAGCATAGAATGGGGAGGAATTGATATCCTTCCGATGCGTGAAGACGCTGTATGGTTAGGAATCTCATATCGCGAAAGCTTTTGTTTTTCATGATCTCACTCTCATTCGGTGCTGCTTCTAGGCCATGACTGCGGAGTGAATATTGGGCATTTCGCACAACATCCGCAGCATATGGTCCCAACTAGCTGTATACGACTTCTGTATTGACCTTGAGCAGGCTAGTGCGTTTCTGGAGCTCGGGTCGCTATGCTCAGCGCTATGTACAGATGGGGCTCCGCGTCTGCTATCCAATCAGTTTGTCGGTATGTCTTCATCTGACAACCGCACTACATCGATATTGAGACTAATAAACCTCAAGCTTTAGCTCACTTGGGAGAGCGCCAGACTGAAGTGACACTTTGGTCCAAAAGCACTGTGCGGTATCTGGAGGTACTGTGGTATGTAAAAGCCTCGCTATGATATATACTACGGCGTAGACTACAGCGTCTAACCAGTAACAGTTCGATCCACAGAAGCGACAATCCTTTTTTGCACTGTTGTAGCCTTTTGACGTTTTCATTTTCGATGAAGCTAGGTCACTGTGCCGACGCCAAGCTTTTTGTCCTTCTCTACCGGGCTAGCGGGAGTTGCGATCTCAGATCTAACGATAGGATCTGAACAGTCTACCCACAGTACTACATACATGCACCCAAGCAGTTCAGTGCCCCTACGGCGAAATTAGTCTGCACAAATTATGAAGTCGTCTTCGAGCAACATGTCGCAGTCGTCAGAGTCCCAGAGATGATCAGGGTCAAACCCTTCGAGATCATCCTCCGCGGCCAGCTAAGCCTCAAGCATCCAGAGATCTTCGTCCACCTCGTCAACGCTAGCAGATTGTTTGCGAAGATTCTTGCCAGCATCAAGCTGCAAGGCCAGATCTTTTACCCATTCGCCGTCTACTTCAACCCTAGCGTCTTCTTCTTCCGAAATGTCGTCAGCCTCGCGGTTAAGAATTGAACGGTAGCGCTCCGAGTGCGATGATTCGTGTCCGAGTGCACGCCTCACCCACTGCTGGTCGGCGCGCTCCTCTCCATGTGGGCGTGTTGGCAGATCGACTGCACTCCGACGCCAGGTCTATATGGATATCGGAGGAGGGGGCAGAAGGCGTCCAAGCCCACAGTGTTGGCAGTTGCCAAGGTCGCAAAGGACAGTAAGGAAGAGCGCACTTTGGCGAAGAAACCAGCAGACGAGCAACGAGACAATGCGCCAGCTGCTGCGAAGGCTAGTTTAATCGTTAGCAACGTTGTAAAGCGCCTGCTAGATAGGAAGACGTTTAAGAATGTAGACGTGCCGTTAGCTAGTCGTATATTGTTAGTACGCGAGGTCGTAAAGAAGAATAGGAGTTTAACTACTACAAGGTCGCTTTAAGTATAGGCTAGGACTGATTTAAGAAGTACTTTCTATCCGTATTAACTAACATTAGGTCTAATATCTAATAGAATATATATCTATAGTAGATAGAAGGTAGATACGTACTATTAGGATATAGATAATAGATTATTATTAATAAGAATAGTTAGAAATAGCGGAAGAAGTATATATCTAATATAATTTAATATAAGCATTCGTAGATTAGGTATAGAAATCTAGTATAAATATACGCTAACGTCTATACTATTAATTTATATAGTAAATCTTATTAATTTTTACTAATAACTAGTAGTTACGTATAGGATACTAATATATATAAAGAAAGCTATATCCTATTAACTCGAATCCTAATCTTACAAAAAGCCTACTAAGACCCCGCTATTTTAATATATAAGAATTTTAATAAGAGAATAGAGTAGATATAAAACAGGCGACGGTAATATATATAATATATATAGCCTAAGTTCGAGCCTCGAATTCGAATCTATATTAAGTTCCTTACTAAAAGCCGAACGCTACCTATTATCTTTATATTCTATAGATATTAACTATACCCTACTATATCCTTCGCCGTACTCTAAGTAGTATCTCTTACTTTTAAGCCCTTATATTATGTTAGGACTAAAGAGGTTACACGTAATTAGCATATAACTAGGCTCGAGTAAAGCTAGGGTCTTAATGCCTTAGGTAGGGCTTAGCGCTTAGCGTTAGGCTAACTAGCCTACCTTCCTCCCTCTCCTCTTAGATCTCTATCGAATACTACCTGTACCTACTACTACCCTATCTACCTGCTAACAGACCCTTCTTATATAGTATTCGATCTACCCTTTAAGGGCAGTAGCTAGATAGTCCTTATTTCAAGCTTTTAGCGGTATAGCTACGAAAACTATCGATTTAACTATATTACGCCCGAACAACGGGACCTATACGTACTATTCTATTAAAACAACTGTACCAATTATTAAGCAAGGCCTTCTATACGGCCTATTACACTAAGTCAAGTATACTAGGCCGATATCTACTAATCCCGCTATATCCGCATCTTAGGGGCTAATAATATATTATTAGTGTCGCCCCTTATAATAGCCGGTTTATTACGAAACAACAACCGTACTGCCGCTAGCAGCGCTAGCAACGACAACGCTAGTGGCACAGTGCCTACTAAAGCACCTGCTAAAGAGCCTGCTACTAAAGTGCCTCCTACCGAAGAGCCTACTATAGGACCTATTAAAGAAGAACCTATAATTCTAGGTAACGACCTAGAATTGCCTATCGACGATATTCTTAATAACATTGTCAACCGTCGATATACGTTACGAAAACTTCTTTTCCGATCGCGACGATCCTATCGATCCTAGCGATCGCGAGCGATCGCGAGCGATCCCGAGCGATCCTAAGCGATCCCGAGCGATCCCGAGCGATCCTAGAACGATAAATAGGTAACTTATAAAAGTTAGACTTTTACCTAATACTATACTAAAAATAAAACATTTTTGTCATATATTACTAAGCCGTAAACCTTCTAGACAAAAAGATATAAAGGAAAGAAAATCGCTTTTTTAGACATTTTGCTTCTAATTTATCTTTTTTTCTACTAGGGTTATAGCTTAGTAATATAGTAGAAAGGTACTCTATTTTTAGTATATTGTTATAAAAAAATATAAAATTTATAGATTTTCTACGAAACTAAAGCTAGGGAAGAGAAATAAGCAATATAGTATTTTAGCTTTTCTAAGTTATACTTTACTATTTTTAGAAATCTAAAATATAGAACTTAAAGTTCTATATACTAATAAGAGTATTATAAATTTTTAAGTTATAATACCTAGTAGTTATCTTAGAATCTAGAAAAGAATCTCGAGTGTTTCGGGTGTACTTTTTTTCAAAGTTCTGCTTATTAAGCGTCGGCTTTTGAAAGAAACCTTAACGAAATATCGGCTGCATTTAACGAAACCTCAACGAAAAAAATTTATTTATAAAAAAAACCTACGAAACCGCTAAATTTAACCTATATAAGTGCGCAATACCCCGAAATACCTCGTAGTAGTAGATATATATAGAGTAGCAGTACTTGTCCCGCGTCCTTTGCGTTCCTTGCCCTCGAATTTCGGGACGGGCCGTCCCGAAATTCGCGATCGCGAGGATCCTATCGGACAGGATCGCGAGTGGTCGGAATTTCTAGATCGCGGCGATCCTGTTAGACAAGATCTTTAACGTGCGATCCTAAGGATCCTAAGCGATCCTATCGACAGGATCGTCGCGATCGGTAAAAAAGTTAGCTAGTAGCTAACTAGCCTTTAGTCCCTAGCTAGTAGCGAGACTTTAAGAAGCTACCTAAAACAGGCTTACTGCCTTGCGTTAAGAATAATAGCTAAAGGATAATCTTCTCGAGATTCGCCGCCTTTAGGAATCTCTAACAACTACTACTAAGCTAATAGTAGGACTCGGACCTTCTTTACTACCTATCTAAAAGAAGGATGCTAAGCTTAAGGACTATACCGTATTTAACAGCTCTAGTCGCAAGCAATACAATAATTATATACGCGATTATAAGCTTAACTAACGAAATATACCGAGGGCTCTTCTAGATAACTATTTACTAGTTATCTACGCTATGTAGTACATTAATAGCGACCTAAAGCGCATATAGGATAACTATTTCGACTCCCTTAATAACTAGACTGCTGTTTAGTAGCAGACCTACAAAACTATTATACTAGATACCCTTAGAAACCCTATACTAAGGCAACAACATACTTAGGACCTATATCTTCGAGCTAAACAGAAGACTAATTAATCGGCTCGCTTATTTGAAGCCTATTTAAAAACCCTTAAAGACGACCTTCTACCTAAGACTAATTCTATATAGATCTCCGAGATACGCCTAAAACTTAGATAGGAGCTTATCCTCGAATTGGACCGTCGCCGTGTGTTCGAACAAGCTAATCTAATACGCATTTAATTCATAGTCGAAGTAGAAACAGCCGAACGAGCTATTTAGCTCTAATAACGACTAGAATTAAGGATCCGACTAACTAGTACTAACCGTAGCAACCGTAGTAGCCGCGGAGGAAACTAAGGTTCCTACTAGGATAACAATGCTAATAGTAGGAATAGTAACAATAACCGTAGAAGAGGCCGTAGCCGGCGGCTATATAGAGGAGGCCGCGATAGGGGCCGTAGAAGGGGCTCGTATCCCTATAATGCTAACCGCTCTGCTAACAATAACAACAGCTACGGCAGTCTACTAACCGGATTAAAGTGCTTCAATTGTAATAGCACTAGCTATCTACTAGGCTAATGCGACAAACCTAAGGACTAGGCCCGAATTGACCGTGCTTTAGCTAAGTATAGGAA